TCTGTGGCAGAAAGGCCCAGGACTTTCTGCTCTTCTGCCGGAGCAGGGAGAGAGAAGTGGAGCCACCTGCCAAGTTGCTCGCAGGCAAGAACACAGTTCCTGGGAGTAGAGGTTGTCAAAGGCACTTTATAGAGCGAGGGCAGGTGCCACTTGTCCTTTTCTTAACAGCTGTCCCTGCCAGACCTCTCCCTTCCTGCTGCTGTATTGCCTTCTCACCTTTGTTACCTGCTTGGGTTGCATCTGACATCTAGATTAGTATGTTTTCTTTAAGGACAGATCCTGGGGGTTTGATTAGTCTTTTTCTTTCAATACAATGCCTGTCACAGTGGTTTCTTAATCATTGAATGGTGTTCTTAAGGATTTCTTACAACTAAGTTCAGAAAATACTAGAAAATTAATAGCAAGATTTCAAGACTAATATTCCAGATCCATTCCTGAACACTAAGAAAAACAACCAAAACCTCTTGCGTTTTATCAGCCAGTCTGGAAGACTATTTTGTTGCTAAGCAACGTTATAGCCATGATTCCCGAGTATGACGAAAAAATTCAATGACTGCATGTTGTGCTTGTTGTTTTATACAGCACAAATACTGAAAGTGAAATACATTTTCAAAGAATGAGTTTCAATTCAATAAAAAGTGTGAAGTGATTTTGTTAAATATAGTTTCTATCTATTATCTGAAACTTTTAAGAGGTTATTGCACTGAGATTCTATTCTTACATTCTTACTATTTTCTTGAATAGGAATTTTAAGTTACAGAACAGCTACAGAATGGAATTCTTACGCATTGTCTTCTTCAGATGCGTTCAATATAAAGACCAGAAAGTGAAAGATACTTAGAAGATAATTAAAAGAAAAACTTCTGTTAAAGTTCTCACTGTAACACTTGTGTTTGGGCATGCCACTTGCTACCCTGTGGCACGGCTGACCACCTCTGTGGTCATAAAAAGATATTTTAGTACTTCTCTCAGCATTAGTTGTATAGTACTTGCCGTTCTGATCAAATCCCCATTTGATGCTTCTCTTCACCTACCAGAAAGAGGCCTGTGTTGTCGCTGGGCAGCAGTGCCATGCCATGCCCCTGCTCGGGGGTGTGCTGTTCCAGAGCGATGGGGAGGCAATGCAGGCTGGGGGAGGGAGCGGTGCAGCGCTGGGCAAGGGCAGCACCACCACCCCTGCCCACTGGCAGGGCAGCGATGGCAGGGAGTGAACTGCCTGGCCTGGGGAGACTTCCTTCTTACCACTAGTTCAGGAACAGACAGCGATGTTAACGCTTGGTTCCACCAAACCAGTCCAGTGCAACTCCAGGACTGCCTTTCAGAGGGGCGCGCTGAGAACAGTGAGAATTTGCTAGTAGGTGAGAAATTTATTTAAAAGCCTGTTTTCAGGAAGGAAGAACCAGCCCAACTGGCTGTGGCTACAGATTCAGGTGGCTCTTGGAGTTGGACTTCGCTGATCTGAGCTTCTGGAGTACCAGTGACTCCTTCCTTTTGTTTTCTGAAGTGGAATTCAAAGAGAAGAGGCCTTTGTTGCCCGCACAAAAGGAAAATACAAATCACAGGGAGGAAGTGAACGTTCTGCAAACTGCAGAAGAGCAGTTTTTGTAGAGCCTCTCTCCACTTGTCTTTGTCTAGGATCTCACATTCCTTAAAGTTGGCTTTGCCCAGCTTTCCTTACTGTGTGCCCCTCCAGGACTGGCTTTCAATAGGATTTCTCCATTTCTTACAGATTGCTTAGAAGGGAGCAGGAGTTCATTTCACAGCTCCTTAGCTAACTGTCCAAAAGTCAGTCTCTAATTTAAGCTAGTCCTTAGGACTCTCCAGAATCAACGGAAGCATATGTCTCTTCAGATGGCTATCAATTCTGGCTGTCTTAGGCACTTGCAGATTTTCCCTCCAAAGTAGCTCTCCGTCTCTCCACTGATTGTAGGGGTGTGAAAAATCCTGGACACCTGCATGTTGCGTGGCTCCAGCAGGTGAAGGTAAACCCTGCCCTGTATAACCACTCGTCTGCACCAACATCCTGTGCTAGTGGCTGTACCGCTTAATAGTGTGCTACGTGCCTTGTGTTGTTTTAGACATAACTGGCTATAAAGCAATGGGGTTTTGCCCCTTGTTTTATGCACGGTGGTAAATAACTCTTAGCAACTTCATTATATTCCTGATTTTGAAGAGGTGGTTTTTACTCATGTAATTACCTCCAAAATGAAAGACACTCCGCATCTTTCATCATCTCTATTGCTCTGTGTACTTTTTTCCAGTTTTGCTACATCACTGCTGAGATGGAGGACTGCTCCATTTCTTCCCATTAAAAATACACACACAGACAGTGCTTCCATGGGGATTGCTGCTTGAATTTTAGAAGTTCTAAAATGTCATTTAAAAATAAAGCTAAAGTAGATAATGTTCTACAAAAGTATGAATGCTTTCAATGGAACAGGGTGAAGAGGATTAATCCTTACAAATTACACTGATGAAAAAGCAAGCTCTGATATCAAGCTTATTCTGTATCATTTTAGATTTCTGATTAACAGTTCATTTACTGCCAAATCATTCACCTTCTATCTACTAGTGTAAATAAATAACCTAATTTGAAGAGCCTCCCTATAATTTTTTGATCACAAGAGGAAAAGCGGTAACATTACAGAGAAAGGGAAAAAGAATAATGCTCAAATGAAATTCTGCAGCATCTTCAGTCCTGGCAAATTGCATGTAAGAACAATGTCACAGAAATCAGAATTAAAAAAAAAAATTTGTGATTTGTCTCTTCTGCACCATAGGAAAAAGCAAATAACTTTTTAAAAACCTTTCCATTACAGACTTTCCCACAAAAGAATACCTATTGGAAGAACCGTTTTCCCAGAGAACAGAATGATTTGGTTTTCCAGCATTATCAATCAAGTTGTCTTGTGCAGGTGACAGCTGTAGTGGTCTTATCTCTATAGTTGAGTTTCTAGTCACTCACATGAGTCTCAATTTTAGTAGCTGCTTTTGGTTAAGGACATAGCGGTAACGTGCATCTTCTTCAGTTAGGGCCAATTTAGAGAAATACTTAAATATAATATTACTGTAAGTAGTAAGTATATATAGTAACATGGTAAGTATACTTAATTTACACCATATATGTTCCTATTAATGGAAATTACCATCCATGGTAATTTCTCCCTGACAGTATCTGTCAGGGAGAACGGAGCATTATGATGGACTTATTGCAGGGAACTGTGAACATCTCTGTATCAGTGAAAAGATACTTGAGATTCTTTTCACAGTTGCTACTAACGCCTACCTAACCTGGTCTCACTACCCTGTAGTTCGTAAAGGACAATATTAGGAGAGTAAGCAGATGTTAAATTTCCAGGTCTTCCAAAAATCTGGTGGGTTAAATAAGTTTCTTCCCTTCCCTCCCTCTCTGCAACTCATTTCAGAACTTACCGACACAAAAGCTTCTGATTTTGTCTCGTTCAGCTGCAGCGTCAGTTTATTTTGAGTATCGTACACTCCATATAGTCTCTTAGACCAACTTGGAGGTATTTTATTCTTGTATCTTAATGAGCTATACAGGGCAAATATCCTTTGTAAATCCAGGACCAGGCAGCTGCAGTTGTATACGATGATGCCAAGTTCCTTCATCTGTGAAATTAAAAGTTCGTATCATTAGTGGTATTTTGGCTGATGGATCTGTGGAAATATGCAGCAAGAACGTAAGAGTGTCTGAGGGGTATCTTCCAGAAGCATGCCTTGAGCTCAGTGGTAGTACTGTCAACTACAACAGCGTTCCTAACAATACTCTTTTAAAGGCAAATCTTCAAAGCTAAATCTTCAAAGTCAAGAGCGAGCAAAAACATACAGGGTTTGTATGTTCAGTGCATGTCAGAGCCGCATGTCCTGATAGAATACAACACACCTTATGGACGGACACAACTTGGGAGTGATACCCATTTGTCATAGGTGCCATTTTTGTTATAGGTGTTGCCCAAGGTTTACTACTCTTGGCTAGAGTGGTTTTTATTTATTTATTATTTTTATATTACTTTGTTTACAGGAAAAGCATCCTTTCTGCTGGATGATGTAGGAGCACACACTGCTACCAGTGACAGTTTCTTACTTCAGGAACAATTTGTTTTCTGTGAGTTCTGGAGAAAGAATATGATGCTCCAGCTTCAAATCAAAGGATGAAAAAACAGGTATTTAATACTATCAGTAACTAGATTTACTGTGTTACTAAATCCAGCATGATCCAGTATATAATATACCCAATTAGGACACAAAAAGGTTGGACTCTTAATTCCCCCATTGCTATGGTATGGTACCTCACCCAGGGTACTCCAAATTTCTGGATGTCAGTTTCTTCACATGTAAAAATGGAGATAATGATACTCTTCTCTCATGAAAAGTACTCTGTAAGCATCAACATTCTCACATACAAAGTATGAGGAAAAATAGCCCGAGTAAATACAGACATCATAGTACAATTAAATGCTTTAACCTTCTACGGACACAGTCTCACTTTTCCATTTAAGTAAAGGCATGTCTCCCGGTCATCATAAATCTTGGTTTGGCAGAGATTTCATTAGTTGCACACCCCTAGTACTTAAGTTGTTGAGAGAATTTAATTTATAAACATATTGCCTGACTTCAGTAATCAAAGCGTAACCGCACGCACACTCTCTCCCTTCCTTTGCTTTATAATAGCTCAGGAAAGCACTGCTGTGGGCACAGATGCTATTGACCTCTCATTATCTGCATTTCACACTAGTTCAGCCACCTCCAAAAATAAAGCGAGAGGAAAACCTGCATGTATATGTTGGAAAACACTGCGTAGGATAAATATTTAAAGGATCCATGCTGGTTTTCTGCACGCAAACTCTCTTGGTAGTGTATCTCAGAAGTCTGTCAGGCATGATGAAGAAAATAAGGGGAGTGCGAACTCTCCAGCATGCTCATTCTTTGACACCAAAAAATCCCCACTGGTTTTATTCCCTTAGATGAGCTCTCCACAGTCACATGGAGTAGTTTCTGGTAGGAGCGTATCTTTTTGTAAAGCCTGCGGGAACTCTGAACCCCACACTAACGTTATCTCAGAGCTTGCTCCTGCGCAATTCTCCTTGGCTGCAGATGAGAACCGCTCTGCAAGAGTGGGCAGAGGAGCGGAAGTGAAGGATAGAATTGAACTTTCAACTCTTTTTCTATGGTGGGTGAGAGTAAACAACAAATCCCAATACTCCAATGAGAAAGAAACTCGATGTGTGGCACCTTCTTCAGGTCCCCGACCTGGAAATACCACATACATACGAATATACAACACTGATAGATCTCATTCCCAAATATTTACTGAATAGTTGCAACCACAGGAACATTACCTAATATTCTTACTGCCTAAATCAGAATATTTCTTTAGCTTTAATTCAGAAAACATACAGAATTCCTCCATTAGCCTGCACAACCTGAAATTTGTGGAGAGTTGGAAAATATAGACTACTTGCTGCTACTGCAGCCTTTCGTTTATGGGTAAGCCAGTAAATTAATTTTGATGATAAATATAAATTATTCCAAGCTATGCCCAACATCCTAGTCAAACAGTCTATTTGGAATAACGTCTTTGGTTTTTCCCCTGGGTGCTAGTATCTTTGAGGACGCTCCTGTATTCAGTTCTAGGCTGTCCCTGTCCTCTATGCACTGTTTGTCTCCAAACATTTTTAACTATACATTATCACTGTTTTCACTGTGTGCTGCCAATACTGTTCTTTTAATTGCCAGGCATGCCATTGCAAAGGACTTACTAATAGTATTCTGTTACATGTATCTGCATAATGTGGTTTAATCGGCTTTTCATGGCTGTTAGTTGATTCTGACATAATTATGTGGTTACAGTTTTCCTTTCATTTATCAGTCCCATTATTACTATTTCACTTTATCCCTTCCATTAAAAGTAAAGATAAAACAGTGTCCTCATAGCACACCACAAGCTGCCAGGATTGCATCTGTGCGAGCAGCTCTCCTCGGAGCAGGAGTGCCTTGCAGTGTGCCCTCTCCCTACGAATTAAAGGATTGCCCTTCTGCCTAAGTGCTTCCTCATGTACAGAGACAGGGGGGAAGCCAGGGGCACTAATGGGTTTTTTTAAGTGGAATTTTTACAGATTGCCACCTAGCCTGACTGTAAAATGAAGCATTAGCCGTGCCTTACCGCCAGCCTCTCCCCGTGAACAGAAGCGCGCAGGGACCAGCCCGTTTTGCAGAGGAACTTTACCCCCCCGTGGGTGCGGGCATCTGCTGGAGGCGAGGTGCTGCCCTGGCTGAGGCCCTGCCACTCACCCACTCGCAGCAGTTACACTCAAACGGCAGACTGGAACAAAGCCTTTTCAAGAGACGTATTTACAGTGCAGTAATGAACCCTGGCCTCCCGTGGCATTGTGTCTTGCAGTTGGCTTCTCTGGAGGCAAGCACTGATCAAAGCTTTTCCTGCTTCAGAAGCCATGATAAGAGCTCTCCCCCGTGAGGATTCCCTGGTACACAATGCAGACTGGGCTCCTCCTTTCCCCCTCTGGGAAAACATAGTTATCCTCTTCACCCAGTTGCCTGTTTTCATTAAGCTTTTATGAACTTCGGTTCAAATTTTCCTTGAACCTGGAAAGTAGTTTCAAAGTTACTGGAAGAGGGCAGACAGCGACTCTGATGCTCATTGTGCAGACCTCGTTTCCTTAGGAAACCAGGTTAGATGTCAGCCTGTCACCTCATGGCCGTCTTGGTTTACGTACGATACATCACCTTGAAATGGAAACAATACAAACAATGCACATGTGTATGCAGTAAAACCACAGCCGTCTCCTTTGTTGTAGAACAGCCCAATAGTTTTGGAGACCAAAGAAATACTCTGTTTCAAAAGCATCTTCCACACGGAGCCTATTTTTACTCCCATACTCTGAGGTGAGGAGAGACTGCTCTTTTTCCAATTAATCACGAAGTGTATAATCCTGGAGGCATTGCAGAGAGTGGGCAGCAGGGATGTGCTACTGACAGATTTAGTATGAAGTAGTATGTCATCTAGATAAGGGAAGAGACTTTCTGTTCGGTTTCAGAGCTGCTGTTATTACAGACTTTTTTTTTTAAATAGTCTCAGAGGAGAAGCAGAAAAAAACATTTATATTGAAAGAATCAAAACCTGAGTGTTACTCCCTGGCTTGCAGGGACTGAAACCTGCAGCTAAGCACCATCTGAGGTATCTGTTAAGGTAAAATCCTTCAGGGCAAGAGCTCTTAAGGCAAGGGAAGTATTTCTTCATCCTGAGTTTTAAAAGCAACTCACACAGTAATGAAAACATCACTGAAAAATTAAAGTGAAGAAGATCTCAAGAAATCAAAACCTTGATAAAACTAAGGAAGAGAAATCTGAAATGAAAATAAAGAGTCACAAATTTGATTACTTCAAAATAGAACTGAAATATTTGGATGTTAAAAGTCACAGGGTTGCTTGCTTCAGGGCATGTGCTGGGGGCTGGGGACAGGAATGGTTTTCTGGATAGAGAATCTTGTGTCCTCTCAGGAACAGGTTTCTTTCCCTCTGTGTCAAGAGCCACCATGAGTGCTCTTCTCAAAGAATGAAAAACATGGGAGCTGGTTTTCCTTGTTCCCCATGACATTTACATTTGTGCAGAGCAACTATTAAAGGTTAGCAAATCACTGTTTGTCTTTCTTGCCAATAAGGGCTTTCTTAAAGCACCAGAGAAGCGAATGGCTACACAAGACTCAAGAAATTGTGGCTTATACCCACTGCACAATGATGCTCTAACTACAGAAATCATTTAAGCTACAAAAAGTATCAAATACGGCCTAGCTAGAAGAATACTGATTTTTATGACACGAGGAGGAATTTCTTACTAGACTGGACAAAGAGCAGGATTTCACAAACAGGAGTTTCTGCTTATTCTTTTTCCATGTACATTTGTAGGCGCCATATACGAAATGAGAAAAACAGAGGAAAAGAACCTAAACAATACGGGTTGTGGACCGATAACACTGTAAGCTTCATAAACTGAGAAACAGTGTTAGCAGGACTTTTCAAATACATTTGGATCATGGGTTAGACAGGGTGTACGATGTGTCCTTATCCTGCACTGTGCAGACTAGACTGTGTTTTATATTTACCGTGAACTACACTCTTAAGAGACAACCCCACTGTGTAGGCAAGGTACTATTTGACCTACATAAGAGTGGCACAATCTGGTTCACAGCTTGCAATATCTGAATTGTGGCAAACATAGCAGGAGGCTTTAGAAAACTCCTTGTTAATTTATTTTAAAGAAAAAGTTTTTTAAAGAAAAAGCTCACACTCGAGCCTGATCCTGAAAATGACAGGCAGCTCTCCTTGGGCATTAACTGCCATTTGCCCAAAAGCTCTGGCCACCAGCAGGTGCTGGCTATCCATTGCCTGTCCTACAGAAACTCTGGATTAACTGCAGGTAGTCTATTGCACACTAAATTTACTAAGTAGACTTTTTATATACAGGACTCTGTGTGCATCTCCAATTTGCCTGTGTTTGAAAATGTATTTAATCATCCTTTCAAGCCTGTGATTTTTTTAATGACCAATTTCCAAATGAATGACTGAGCAAAACCAGAATCACAACAGGGGCG